AGCTCGGCGACGTTCTGCTCGATGAGGTCCGCGGCCTCGGTCTTCGCGACGAACTCCTGGCGCTCCTCGTGGTAGTTGACGAAGATCGACGCGATCGCGTCCATCCGGAGCCTAAAGTTCACGAGGAACGCGGACGCGGCCGCGGACACCTGCACGGACAGTCGCTTCGACGCCCGGACGGGCGGCGTCGCTTCCGTCGCGCGCCGCGTGCCGCCGTCGTCGCGCGCCCGGGCGTTGCGCCGGCGGGGCTTGCGCGTCGACGCCTTGTCCTTGGCCATGGCTTGACACAAATCGATCAGCACCTGTGAGCGAAACGGTGATTGTGGGTGTGTGGCGGCGCTCGGGCGGGCTCGTGGGGCGCGCGGGGCGTCGCGCGGGGCGCGCGGGCCGCGCGGGGCCCCGGGGCGCGCGCGCGGGGCGAGAGACGCGGCGGCGCACGAGATCGAGTCGCTTCGAGACCTGGCGAGTTGTGGACATTCTGTTTGAAGTTCGAGTTGACGCGAAACCCGAAAATCGTGCCCGGTGTTTTCGGGTCGCGCCTCGTGCACTTCCCCCGGAGCGTCCCCAGGACCGCTCCCAGACCTCCGATCGAAAATTTGAAGGACCGCGTCGACGCGGCCGATGCCTCCGTCGGCGCGGACCGCGCGCCGACCGCGGCGGACCGCGGGGCTGCCACCGGTCGCCGCAGCGATCCCCGCAGCCGACGGGCCGTCCGCGTCGGGGCGCGGGGACCGGCGGGCGGAGCCGTGGCCGGAGCTCGCGACCCGCTGGACGGCCGGCGGAGACGCTGGGAGACGTGGTTTAGCGATCGATCAGGCCCGGCAAGTGCTTGCCCAACAGGCCTCTCACGGGCTCACGAGATTTTGTCCAAGTCTAATCTGTCATATATCGCCCGCACCACGGGTTGCGCGCGTCCGTGCGCCGCACGCGCGTCGCCGGGGCCTCGTCGTCGTCCCTGCACGACCTACGGCGAGCCCCGTCGTCGTGCACGGCGAGGAGCGCTCAGCGGCCCGAGGCGTCGTCGCTCCGGGTCGCGACGCCGGCGCTTTGCCGTCGTCCCGCGGCCCGCGGCGCCGGAGGACGCACCGGGGCTTCGGGGCGACCCCGCCGGTGATCGCGGCGGCGCGGGAGGCGCGGGGACGTCGCGCTGTGGTGCTCGCGGACCCGCGGGACCGGCGCGCTCGGCCGCTCGCCGCGATCGCGACGGATTCGGCTAATTTTTGGACCGTTCGACGGCGCTCGGTCCCGCCGTCGCGGCGGATGGGGCGCGTCGTCTACCACTACCCGCCGCGGCGACGTCCGGCCTTCACCCGCCGGCGCCGTGCGATCGACCGTCGGCTTCCGCGGGCCGGCGCCGGCGTCCCGTGGCGGTGACGATGTTCGAGAGATTGCGACCGGGGAAACGAAGAGAAATCGTCACCGACATGCTTCGTAGGCCCGCGCGCGTCTGCGTCGTCGCGCGGCTCCCGGGCGGCGGGAACGGGGTCTGGCCGGCGCACTGGCTCATGCCCCTCGACGATTCGTGCTGGCCCTGCCACGGCGAACTCGACATCATGGAGATGATCGACGCCGACGGCGTCCTCCACGGCACCTACCACTGGTGCGCGAACGAGACGTGCGGCGACGGACCGGCGCACCTGTCCGACACGTTCCAGGTTTCGGTCGCGCTCGACGAGTGGCACGAGTTCGCCGTCGAGTTCGGCCCCGGCGCCGCGCGCTTCGCCGTCGACGGCGCCTTCTACGGGTCCGTCGCGCCCGACGCGCTCCTCTGGAACACGTCCTACTACGCCATCCTCAACACGGCGATCGGCGGACCCTGGCCGAGGCCGCCCGACGCCGCGACGACGTTCCCGAACTACCACCGCGTCGACGCGATCCGCGTCGCCTATCCTAAGGCCGTGTGAGGGCGTCTGTACGGCACTAAACGGAGGAGGACCGCCCCTTGCGCTTCCCGCCGAGGGCCTGCTTGAGCAGCTTCTTGAAGCCCTTCTCGTCGTCGACGAGGCCCGCGAGCGTCGTCGCCAGGACCACGAGCGGGTCCTCGGCGCCGCCCGCCGCCGCGCCGACGGGCGCGAGCGCCGCGTACAGGTCCGCCGCCGCGGGCCGCGCCGCGCGCGCGGCGGCCGCGACGCCCGAGAGCCGCGCGGACGGGAGGACCGCGTCCCGCTGCGCGCCGAGGAGGAGCCGCAGCGCCGGCGCGCGCGACGCCGCGTCCCCCAGCAGGCACGAGGCCAGCTCCAGCGCCGCCGCCGCGTCGTCGCTCCGCCGCGACGCGTGGGGCCGGACGAGCGCCTGCGACGGCGTCGCGTGACGAACCCCTCGAAAAAAGTCGGAGGCGCCGGGCGCGCGCGAGGTGGAGCAGCCGGAGCGGGACCGCGGCGGCCGCGCCGCGCCGCAGGAGCCGCGTCGCCAGCGACAGCGCGGCGCCGAGCGCGCCGCCGCGCGACGCGCTTCGGGCCTCGGCCGCGTGGCCGGCCGCGAGCGCGTCGAGGCCCGCGAGCGCCGCGGCGGCCACCGCCGGCGCGCGCGCCGGCGGCGCCGCGGCGACCGCGAGCTCGAGGAGGAAGCAGCCCGCGGCCGCCGCCGGCCGCCGGAGCCCGCGCGCGACGGCCTCGAGGCCCGCGGCCGTCGCGGCCTCGAGCACGGCGTCGCTCGCGCCGCCGGCGGCGTCGCAGCACCGGCGCTGCCGCTTCGGCGCCGCGTCCGTCCAGCCCGGGCTCAGCACCGCCGCGAAGACGTGCGCCGCGGCGCGCGCCGCGCGCGCCGTCGCGCTCGCCGGGACCGCGTCGTCGTCGGCGTCCGAGTCGTCGTCGTCGTCGA